GCTTGAGAGAACCTGGCTAAAAGAAACTCAGAAACGCAGTGCTGGGAGCCAAGAACACCTGCCGACAAAACAATAATCTGGACGCTCGATTGGCAAGGACCATTATTCGTCCTGTGAAGACTGGATTGGACATTGACCTGACCTTGACCGCGCGCGGTTGAAAATCCGTCGTAGATCGATCAGTTCGCACTTTTACGTTTTATAGGTGTTTTTCTGTACATTTTTACTTATATCTTTAATTGTGGCCACCCTGAACTAACTCTATTCCATATTATTCCATTGCGATTTATATTTTACTAGTACCAATACTCTTGAACTATGTATTCTGAGGTCTCTGAATCCTCCGACGAGGACACCTCACCCATGCGGGAAATCCCCATACCACATGAGGTGGCTGAAACCAGCGACTGGGCTAGCACTCTAGTCGCTCTAGTCGCCCTTGACCTGCAAGGTTCGATTATACACGAACTGCGCGGAAAATTCTCGGCACTAGATAAAGAATCAAGTCACCTGACAGCGTTATTTAAGGATAACTTCCCGGCATGTGCTGCCGCGGGACAGGCGATCGCACTATCGAAACAACCAATATTCGACACTGCAGCTAAATTAGAATCAGCGGCCATTAGCGCCGAACGGATTATAACCTGGGGTAGCTTCCCCAAGTTCAATTCTCCGGCTCAAGCAACCGATACCCTTCTGAGAAACCTTACAGCGCCATCCCTACCCAAACCAATCGGAGCGTCGTGGCTGATGTCCAAATCTAAGAAGACGAAGGTGGGCATCCTTATCACCTTCAACTCGGAATCAGTGATAGCAGACGCTCTCGCCCAAACCGAGACCCTGAAAAGGGCATGCAACCTTGTCCAAGGAGTTTCCCCAGACAAGCCACTGCACACCCGAACTCAGCGGAAGAAAGCCCTCAAAAGAAACCATGGTGCCAGCGATCCCAAACTCCGCTGTCTGCCGGTGATCCCTCTCTCGCGCATTGACCCTCAAGCGACGACATCCTTCCCACCTCCCAAGGCACGATAATCTCCCAGAGTCTCAACGACATCCGCGGCGCGACCTAAGCAGCCTCCTACAGCTTCGACACCAAGACCCCTCACCTCACGAGTAAGATTAACCCCAAGACGACCCCTAATCCCAAGCCACAACGGAACGGTTTTTTCGGCAAACCACCCGTACCACTCTTCCCAACTGGGTCACTAGCACCACAATCCCCCCTTTTCCGTGACACGCATCCTAGTGGGCAACAGGGATACCTCGCACACTCCCTTAGAGGATCGCAAACCGTCCCTTTTCTCCCAGTGTCTCATCTTACTCGTCCTCCCAACCTCTTCAACAGGTCGAGACAATCACGCGGCAGAACGGTTCACAATCCGGACCGTGTCCACAGCCCACTCATTACAAATCAGATACCCAAATTAGAGCCCCTCCCAAAGATCTCTCGTCTAACCCTGTTTCTACTGAAATCTCTGGTGAGTGGCTCTGAAGTGCATCTCCACTAACTGTCTCAGGATCTCGAACAAGATGCTGGAAGTCAAACAGTTAGTGGCCGATAAGAAACCCCATGTTTTAGCCCCCACAGAAACCTGGTTGACCCCGGAAAACAGCGATGGAGAAATATCCCTTGCAGGTTACTCATTGATCGGAATAGACTCGATGAGAGGTCGAGCAGGTGGTGTGATCCTAAACACGATTGACCACCTCCACCAAGTGATCACTCTGTTACTCCCTCCAATCCCCTTCATAGACTGCCTTTGGGTCCAAATTCCCCTGTCCCGCTCTGAGACACTGGTGCTAGGAGTAGTCTACCGCTCACCCTCCTGTGGCGAGCTAGAATCACAACTACTGATGAATCAACTAAAAAGCTTAAGATCTATGCGCCCCAATGCGCATCTTCCGACTTCAATGCTCCGGCAATAGATTGGTGCATACTCCGCGCCCCAGACAACATATTTGGCAGGCTGTTAGTCAACTTGGTCACAGAGCTGTCCTGGTCTCAGCACGTCAAAAGCCCAACGAGATACAGAAACGGGCAAGCCCCCTCATTGCTACACCTCGTCATAACAGGTGATAGTCACCTCATGGACACAATCCAGCAGCACTGCCCTTTGGGCAAGAGTGATTATCTCGTGTTATCCTTCGATATCATAGTCCGCTGGCCCAGATGCGTTACACCCTGTCTTAGGGAGGTTCGTTCTTTCAGAAGGACAAACTTCACAACCTGAGGCATTTCCTCCAAGCCCATACCCCACAAACCAACCAGATAAGTGACGTAAACATCTTGAGCAGCACAATAGAGCG